CAGCCCTAACAACTTCCTCTTGCACCTGCAACGAAGTCCGGAGTCCCTTCCAAGTCCTACAAGGCCCTCAGTGATCCAGCCCTGCACTGGTATTGTGAAAGGGCCTCAAACACACACTAAACTGTTTTCTGCCTCCAGGCTTTCTATTTACTGTTCCTTCTGCTTGGAATACCCCACCCCCACCCCCGCCGTCTCTTAGCTTGACTGTCTCTCTCTCATTTTTCAGGTCCCACCTTAAAAGTCACGTCTTCAGAAAGGCCTTCCCTGACCATTACTAACCTCTACAGCCTTACTCCGTTTAGTTCTTTCATAGCATGTGCCACAATTCTTCATTATCTTAAAAACGTTTGCTTGTTTATTTACTGCTGCTCTATGAGGGAAGGGACCTTGTTGTCATGTCCCTCTCCTTGCCAGTCTGGGTGTCAAACATGCTTTTATCCTTTAAACTCTTCCATTCTGACATCTTTCTTGAGTGTCTTTCCTTTTCTGGACCATGAGTGTCTTATACCTATCCTGGACATAGATTAAAAGCTGTCAGATGCATGCTGAATTGAATTCATGTGTCCCTCCTAGCTGCAGTAGCATTTTAACAGTCTTTCAATGTCTTTAGCCAAAGAAGGACTTCCAGCCACTGGGGTGCATTGATGGCAGATACAATTGGGGCTGAGTTTGGTTCCCAAATCACATCTTTTCTGCCTATCTGCCTGCCCTTACTTTTTCTAATACTCATCTCCCTCACTGGCATCTTGGGCTAGAAGAGGAGAGGCCAGAGGGACTATGCCCCATTTGTGATTTGCCTCATCAGCTCATTGCTCATGGAGATCTCCCCAAAATACCCCTAAGTCAGCAGCTGCCTACAGGTCACTGAGATATGGGCTCAGGACTCTTGGCAACTACTGATCTGAGGCCTTTGGTAGAGAAGAGTTGGGAACATCTAGACCTTGTAATCCAAGACCTTGGTTCCAGCCCCCCTACGTCTTAAGACTTCCAAGCTCCATCTTTGGCCACGAGCCCTCTACCCTGGATCCTGCCCCTTCCATCTAGCTCTGTTCCTAGCTAAGCACAAAGTTCTCCATCTCTGCGGTGGGGGGTGTAGGTGAGGATGGAGAGACAGTTTTGCAGTCTTTGAGAGCAGTGATAGGCCTGTCCAGGGCCCCTGAGGCCCAGCTCTCCCTGACAGCCCTTCCCAGCACTGTCAGTACCTTAAGTGCCTGGAAGATTGTGGTTCTTTGAAGGATTTCTGGAGAGAATCTTTCCAGCTCCATAGGATGGATACACTATAGGTGACTCGGCTGTCCTTATGCTGGTCCTGACTGAAATTGCTTTCTCCTTTCCCGGTTTTCTTTCCTTTCCTTTTCTTTTCTTTCTTTCTTTTTTTTTCTTTCTTTTTTCTTTTTCTTTTTTCTTTTTTTAAGGCGAGGCAACCCTTGGTTGACCTCACAGATTGCAAAGACTTTGTCACCTTATGATTTCTTATTTTTTTATTTTTTATGCCTACAGCACCTGGTCTTCCTAGGTGGTCTCCTGTCCAAGTACTAACCAGGCCCAACCCTGCTTAGCTTCTGAGATCAGGCAGGATCAAGCTTGTTCAGGGTAGCATGGCCGTAGACACTCCTTTCCTGGTTTCCATATGCTAGGGTAGAGAGCGCATCCTGGGAGTGGAATCCTGGAGTCTGGCCTGGGCCTCCTTCTCTCAGGGCCTCAATGTCCTCAGCTAAGCTAAGGGTCTGGATGAGACAATTTCCCTTCCAGCCCTGATGCTCCTGATTCTGAACACCCTAGGAGTCTTAAAAAAAAAATGGAGGGAGAAATGTAAAAGATACAGGAAAGTACAAAGAATAATTAAACCATTGTACACATTTTATCATATTTGCTTTGAGTCTTTTGCACCAGGATTCTAGTACTCAGGGTTCTAATTACCCAGATCCCACCGCCCTGGGATTCTAATGACCTGGGATTCCAACATCCAAGGATTCTAAACGGAGGTGCACATGTGTGTTGGCTCTGTACTCATAATGTTGGGGAGAGAAGGCAGGAAGAAAGACTTAGGTCTTTCTACAGTGGCTACTCAGTAGATGGGTTAATTGGGATGAGAGGGTGGTTATTAAGAATCAAAGCTTCCAGAGGTTCTAAAATTCTGGAATCCTAGAGTCCTAAAGTTGGAGTAGATCTCAGAAGTTATACAGCCCAAAGCTTCAAGCCCTGTGCAACCTCTGCTTGACTTACCCTTGCTGTTAGCAGGCTCACTTTCTTCCAAGGCAGCCTCTTCCACTGCTGACCGGCTCCAAGTGTGTAAAAGACCTTTTATGTGTGTATGTCCAAATTCTGCTTCCTTGTAACTGCCGCATTGGTCTGTTCTTGGGGCCACACAAATCACATAGACTCCTCTGCTCCAGGACAGCTCTTTAGGTATTTAAAGTCAGTGCCTAAAGTCCTTGAGATTGTAGCATTTGTTGCATCTCTCAAGTGTTTCGTAGGCTTCCTCATTGCTTTATCATGTTTTTTTTTGTGAGCTCATCTAAGCAGGAAGATGTGCCCTGAGTAGTGGAAGTGAACTTACAGGGTAGTTCCAGACCCATTTCTCTCGGTTGATTTATGCACTGAGCACGTAATTCTAGAACTCGGACACATGTTATTTTTGGTTATTGGCTAGTCTTGTTAAAGGTTGTGATTCTCTAGGCTAATTCTATAGCTTGGGCCCTAGGCACCTTTGAACAGTAAGCAGAGTTTTCTCTACCCTCTGGGCTTTCTATTAACTGCTCAAGCCTAACTCCTTAGCCTCTGACCCCATAAGGAAATTAAAGCCCTATAATCTAAATGATCTACCAACTTTGGTTAATTCTCTTATTTAACAGATATTTATTGACTTTCTACCATGTGCAAGTACTCTGCAAGGTGCTAAGCATCTAGACCAAGCTCTTGCCCTTTAGTGGGGGGGAAACAGGCAAGAAACAACCTAAATTCTATAAAGAGAATTAAAACAGAATGATGTCCTCACAAATATAATGTGGAGAGAAAAAAGAAAGGAATACATAACGTAGGATTCCATTCATATAAATTTCAAAGGCTAATCTGTGACATTAGAGGTCGAGACTGTAGGTGCGGGAGTGGTGACTGAAGAGTGTGTGAGGGGGATGCTGGTAATTTCGGTTTCTTGAACAGAGTGTGTTTACTTTGTGAAAATCCATCAGACTGTATAAGAATATTCACTGCAGCTCTGATTGTAATGGCAGAAAGACCAAGAAGAATCTGAAAGTCTGTCCAAAGGAAACCTGTTTTATTTCATCACATGGAAAAGTATCTGTAGGATAAATTCCTAAGAGGGGTTGGGCATTTGTAATTTTGATAGATGTTGCCAAATTTGGCCATGTATTTATAACAAAGTTTTCATGTAACATACATAAAGTTTGTATATCTTAAGAATACATCTCCATTAGTTTTACAGAATGCACACACCTTTGTAATCACCAATCAACTCAGAACATAGAGTGTTTCCTGCATTTCAAAGGCTTCTTGTGGCCCCTCCAGTCATTA